GTTGTGGCGGCTATCGCTCGAGGACATGCAGGCGCGCCAGAGATAATGCGAGAGTTTGCGTCTGTGTGCGTTGCAGGTATGTGAGTCGTTCCAGCTCTTCGTGGCATGAGTCGCTGGGGCCCCTCGTCCTTCCTTGTGTGACTCCTTCGGGCCCTTCATTGTGTGTACGTCGTTCGGGCTCCTCGTGGTGTGAGTCCCCTCCTTGTGTGTGTGAGTCGTTCGGTCCCCTCCTCCTGGTGTAATTCGTTCGGGCTCCTCGTGGTGTGAGTCGTTCGGGGCCCGCGTCGTGGTGTGAGTCGTTCGGGCTCCTCGTGGTGTGAGTCGTTCGGGCGCCTCGTCTTGGTGTGAGTCGTTCGGGTCCGTCCTTGTGGTGTGACTCGTTCGGGCTCCTCGTGGTGTGAGTCGTTGGGGTCTCTCGTCCTGGTGCGAGTCGTTCGGGCTTCTCGTTGGGCCTGTTGGGGGCCTCTTGGAGCTCTTGGGGCGTCTTGGGGGCCTCTTGGGGGCCTCTTGGGGGCGCCTTGGGGGCCTCTTGGGGCCTCTTGGGAGCCTCTTGGGGACCTCTTGGGGCCTCTTGGGGGCCTCTTGGGGGCCTCCTGGAGGCCTCTTGGGAGACTCCTGGGGGCCTCTTGTGGCTATCTTGGGGCTTCTTGCGACCTCCTCAGAAGCGCAAATAAGCGCTGACCCCTGAGAAGGACAACATGAGACCAAAACCTTCGTAAAATCAATGATTTTGCTAAGAAGGAAGAGGAACGCGGCCCCCTCAGAAGGCAGAAGCCAAAAATGGGGCCAAACACGTCAGTAACAATTCAATGTTTTTGTTACCTTTTTCAACGACGAGTTCAGGCGCCAAACTCCCTCCCCCCCCTCGGGGCCAGAATCCTAGTGAGGGTCGTCGTTTTTTGGCCCTCCCAGGCGTCGAAAAAGACTCCCCTGACGACCCGCGGCCCGCCCTCTCCAGGCCCAGGGGGAGGGGGAGGAGGAGGGTAACCCTACCCGAAGGGAAGAAGAGGGGGGTTGAGGACAGAAGAGAGCTCCCTAAACCACTCACGCCCAAATGGATGGTTGGATGGTTTCAGAGCAGACTGTTGTTTCAAACGTACGCGATTTGCGAGCATCTTGGAGGCAGTTTTTGAGCTTCTTGGGGGGCGCCTTGGAGGCATCTTGGAGGCCTCTTGGGGGCGTCTTGGAGGCAGCTTTTGAGCTTCTTGGGGGCCTTTGGGGGGTCCTTGGGGGCCAGTTGGGGCCTTTTGGGGCCTCTTGGGGGCGTCTTGGGGCCTCCTGGGGGCCTCCTGGGCCGTCTTGGGCCCTTCTTGGGCCGTCTTGGAGCCCTTTTGGGCGCCTCTTGGGCCCGTCCTGGAGCCCTCTTGCGCCGTCTTGGGGGCCTCCTGGGCCTGCGTAAGCCCTTCTTAGGCCGTCTTGGAACCTTTTTGCGGGCCCCTTGAGCCGTTTTGGACACTGTGAAGGTCCAAGAGGCGAACATGCTAAAAATGTAGGTTTTCCTAAGGGAAATCGATGATTTTGGCCGGTCGGGGCCCTTTTGGAAGACCTCTTGGGGGCCTCTGGGGGCATCTTGGCGGCCTCTTGGGCTGTCTTGGGTTCATGTTCGGCGTCTTGGATCGATGTTTGGGCGATCCAGAAACGTCTTGGCCCGTCTTGGCGGCTTCTTGGCAACGTTTGGGTCCGTTTTGGCCAACCGAACCCCGACCAACCGAACCCAATCTGTGGAAGCCCCCCCCCCCTCCCCCCCCTACTCCGGCAGAGCCACCCCGGCCCACCCCCCCCTTCAACTCACACGCCGGATCAGCGGATTCTCCCCATAGTCCCCGCGGAATCTTGGGCCAGTCTTGGGGCATTCTTGGGTGTGTCTTGGCACATTCTTCCAAAAGTCCCCTTAGAATCTTGGGCAACTCCTGGGGATTGTGGGATCATCCTTGGGCAGTTCTTGGGGCAGTCTTGGGTAATTCTTGGGTGCTCTTGGGCGGTCCTTGGATCTCTCGCGGCATGTGTTTGGCTGCTGCCCCGCCCCGCGGCTGCTGGTCCTAACCCCCCCGGCGCCGCCCCGCCGCCGCCTGGCCCCACTCTGAGCGGGCCCGGTCTCCCTCCCCCTCCTGCCGCGGCCGGGCGTTCCCCGTGCATCGCGGCTTCGTTCGCGTTCGCATGCCCTGCCAATGCCTTTCCGCCCGCGCAGCCACTCTGCCTAAGCCGCCGGCGCAAAGAGTCCTCGGGGAGGAGGAGGAGCAGGAGGAGGAGGAGGGGGAGGAGCAGGAGGAGGAGGAGGAGGAAGAGGAAGATGAAAAGGAGGAGGAGGACGAGGAGGAGGAGGAGGAGGAGGGAGGGAGGGAGGAGGGGGAGGAGGAGGTGGTTTGTAGATCTCTCGCGGCAGGTGCTTAGCTGCTGCCGACGGGCGGAGCGCCCCCCTCCGTTCGCAGGCGGCGCGCTCGGATCCCCCGGGGGCGCGCCGAGGCGTGCCGCCGACACCCCGCACGGGGCACCTCGTCGGGGCGGAGAGTCTTCCGCAGCGGCGTCGCGGTCGGCGGCGACGGCGCGAGACGACTGTCGGGCGGCTATATCTCGGGTCTTTCGAGGCGGAGGGAAAAAAGGTACCCGTGCCTCTGCAGTGCCGTTTTTAATACACGATCCGCGTGCGGATCATGTATTAAACATGCAGGGATTTCGCATTAACAACAACGATGAGTTCATGCATAAATGGATTCACAGATTAATCCTGTAATAGAAATCATATATGTTGAAAAATCCTATGTATTAAAAACTGCCCTGTGCTGCCCTCCCCTCGTTTTCCCCCTTCCGTCGTTTTTCCCGGGCCTCTGTCGCCGCGGCCGCGGCAGGCGCGCCGAGAAATCCTGTGCAGCACGCGCGCCCCAGGAGAGAGGTCTCCGGGGAGCAGCGGTGTCGGCACCCTCTGCGGCCTCCGCCCGTGTGGAACATCAGGCGACATTTAATCGAAAGTCCCAGAGGTCTTGGAACTCTGGTAACGAATCATCATCACGACCTCTTGCTCATCTGATTCTTGTTGCCCGAAGAGAGAACGGGGGGGGAGGAGGCGGACCATTCCCTGGGGTGACCCGCACGCGGTCCATGCCCCCCAGGCCTTGCGCAGCCTGCTCCTACGAGGGGAACGAGCGGTGGCATAAACATAGAAACTCGGAGGTCCGCGCGGATTTCGCGGATCGGCGCTCGGGCCCCCCCGGCGGCGCCTCCGGCGCCGGCCCTGGCGCGTTCCGCGCGCCTTGGGAGGGGGGGGTCCAGCGCCGATCCGAGAAATCCGCGCGGACCTCCTAGTTTTTGTGTTTATGTCACTTTCTGTTCCCCTATCCACGGTGCTCCTCGTGTCCTGGGCCTCTCGAGTTCGGGATGCCGAGCGCCCGCTGTGCGCCAGGGCGGTGCCATGTTGGCAGGTCGCAGGCCTGCGAGGTGCCCGCGGCGCGGCCTCTGCGAGGCCGCTGGGCAGCCCTCGCGGCAGCGCGCAGCCAGTTGCTGAGCTGGTCAAGCTTCAGACGTTCGAGCTCCTCTGCAGTGTGAATCGGATGTCCTCCCCCCTTTCCTCCAAACTGTTCCCCCTCTTTGTCGCCGCCCTATCCTCGGCCACGCGCGGAGGGGGGTGGGGGGAGGGGGGGGGGCTTCTCAGAAGCACCCCCTGCTCCCTGGAAGGCGCGGGCCTCATCCACAGATGTGAGGCCGGCGCCTTCTAAGAAGCAGCCTCCTTCTAGGGAGCCCTCCTCCCTCCCTTCCCCCCCTCTGTCGCCGCCCTTCCCTCCCCTCCCATCCATCGCTCGTGAAGGACAGTGGGCGATCGACGAGCACGGCCACAACTTCACCAGGACGCCCCACCGCCCTCGCCCCGAGGGCCCTCGAGGGCAGGGTCTGCGGGCCTGGGGTGAAGTCGGGCCCGCCCCCATACAGGAGGGAGGTTCGAGAATAGTGAAAACATGGTCTGGGGAGGATTCTTTGAAGCATGCTTTGACTATTTGGGGGTACTGGTTTAACTCTCTGGTGTTCCGTCCAGGCTCCGCCTGTAGGGGAATATGCCCGACCCAAGCCTGGGGTGAGAGCACGTCGGGGAACGAACGGTGACAGAAACATAACAACTCGGAGGTCCACGCGGATCTCTCGGATCGGCGCTGGTCCCCCCCCTCCTAAGGCGCGCGGAGCGCACCAGGGGCGGCGCCGGAGGCGCCGCCGGTGGGCTCCCTGGCGCCGATCCGAGAAGTGTTCTGCACGAGCGAAATTTGCACGGAAAGAATGGGTACAATGCCCAACAGCAGTTCCTGTTCATTTTGAACATAGGGGAGAAAAATTACATAAACATAAGAACTCGGAGGTCCGCGCGGATTTCTCGGATCGGCGCTGGGGCCCCCCGGCGGCGCCTCCGGCGCCGCCCCTGGCGCGCTCCGCGCGCCAGGGAGGGGGGTCCAGCGCCGATCCGAGAAATCCGCGCGGACCTCCGAGTTTTTATGTTTATGTCACTTTTTGTTCCCCTAGAACAGGACTCGCTGTCCGCGTCGCCGCGGCCTGTGTCCATTTGAGACAGGAGGCCCGCCTGCCCAACAGCGGCCGCTGTGGGTTTGGGACAGCATCTGTTGTTGGGCATTGTACCCATTTTTCCGTACCCGTTTCGGGCGTCCAAGAGTGTGCGCAGACATCCGAGGTTTTATGTTTGCGTCATTGTTTGTGCCCCGAGGACGGGCTGGTTGGATGGCATTCGTCGGGCACTGGTCAGGTCGCTCGCATGGCGGCTGATTTGCCGCCAGCGTGGATTAGCGGGCGGTAGCGGGTGGACCCCTCCTGGATTCATCCAACGTTGTTCCGCACCTTGGGTCCGTTTTCGAACGTCCCGCTGCCCAGAACAGGCGCCCCGGCGCCGAACACCGCCCCGAACTTCGAAGCTCAACTTGGCATCGCTCGGACGTGTGCACTTTTCCTTCGGCGAGGACCATCGAGGAGCATCCTTGATCAGTTGGCGAAAAAGCCACGCACGAAACCAAAAAAAAGCACAGGGAATGATCCGAGCAATGGCGAGTCAAGGGGTGGGGGCAGGAAGAGAGCCGAAAGAGCCCTCGCCTCCAGGGGGCGCCTCCTGGAGGCTGCCTCCGGGCCCCGGGACCTTCACAACACGAGCCACTCGCTGCTCCTCGCGGTCCTCGCTGCTCCTCGCGGTCCCCAATCGCTCCCCTCCTCCTCGCCCCCTCCCCCCCCTCGTCCTGGGATGAGAATGAGAAGCCCGCCCCGGGGGGGGAGGGGATCGGAGCCGGGGCGGCCCACGTCGCGAAGCAGATGCAACGTCGGCTACGCGTACGAGTGGCCCTTCGCCGGAGTGGCAGGAGGTGCGGAACCCATAGGGGTCTCGCCAGCGCCAGTGGTCGCGCTTGGATGGCTTGCGGCGTGGCCTCGCCGGCGGCCCCCGAAAGTCGCGCGCACCACGGGTCACTCTTGCCAAAGGGTCAGTCCTGCGTGTAGCCGCCGACGTTGAACGGGAGGTTCGACGGGGGTGGTGTTGGCAGGGGGAGGAGGGAGGTCTTGCAGGGGTGGGGTGGACTGAGGCGAAATGAGGAAGGGGGGCAAGGATGGGGACGGAGTGATAGGAGGGAAGGGACCAAGGAGGAGGCGAGGGGGAAGGGGAAGAGGAGGAGAAGGAGGAGGAGGAGTAGGAGGAAGGATGTGGACGAAGTGAGAGGAGGAGGAGGAGGAGGAGGAGGAGGAGGAGGAGGAGGAGGAGGAGGAGGAGGAGAAGGAGGAGAAGGAGGAGGAGGAGGGGGGAAGATTTGTTGTGGAGGTGGAGAGGAGGGCGGTTTCGCTAATTACACCTGCGGCGTTCGAGCTGCCTGTGCGCCCCTCCCTACCACGCCACACAAGTCGTTGCGTTTCCGCTGGAACAGTTTGGACCATTATGATGGCTAAGTCGGGTCGTTTCCTCTACAGGAGGAGTAATCAAAAATAGCAAGACATAAAATAGTCTGGGGACTATTATTTGAGTATTTGTTGACTATTTCAGGGGGCATCTTTTTAACCTTTTACTTGTCGCCCAAAATCCCCCTGTAGGAGGACATGCCCGACCTAATGGTATGGTGTTTGTGGCTTAACGCTGCACAGATTTAAGATACGTCAGTCTTCGGGCGCTTGTCAGGCATGTGCAACAGTGTGGGAGGGGGCAGCTGGCGAGATGGGGAGGAGGAGGGGGGGGGGCAGGGTAGTGAAACCCAGGATGCGTCAACGATGCTGCAATACACCCTCCCGCCCGAAGTCCCCAAGTCCTTGCAAGACTTCCTTTTCACAACGGGAAGCGCTCTCTTCAAAGGCAAAAGCCGCAACGATCTTTCATGCATGCATGAGCATTCATTCTGTCCAGTCCCTGCTGCATTGGTTTCTCGTGTTCGCTAAATCACTATGATATCCGTCCTCCTTCCCGCCCTTCCTTCCCTTCGCTCGCAGAGGTATCAAGGAGAAGTGAGGAGGGAGGACGTGAGGCATGGAGGGATACAGGGGATTGAGGGAAGAAGAAGGAAGCATTGGGAGGCGTAGGGACGGAGCCCGTAGTCTGCACACCGTTGCAGGGAGAGGTCGTTGCCAACGGCGCCCAATAGGAAGGCAGGGCAGATGTCCTTTTAAGTGTGGGTCGGCATAGCTGTCATCTGTATATTTTCTAGACGCCAATGCGGACACCACGTTGTGCCACAGCAGTGTACTTAAATGGCGATGTTTCCGCGCAGGCTTCGATCCCCTGGTCCCGTCCTGCCCGTCACGCGTCGATGTCGGGCGCTGGCGGGGACCCTGGTCAGGGTCAGGGCTCGACGTGAACGCTGTTTTGCTGGACTTCGGCTGTGTTTTGCTTCTCGTTTGGCAGGGAGGTACAGGAAAACTGGTCGAGCAAAACGAAACATAAAACGACTACAAAACGAACAACAACGTTTAGGTCCAGCCCTGGTCAGGGTCCCGCGAGATCGATTGCGGTCGCTGGCGGGGACCTGTGTGCTTTTGGTATCTGCTCGTGTATGTTGTTCGTGTCAATACGTTTCTGTGTGTGTGCGTGTCTCGCGTTCTCCATCATCCCCTCCTTCCTCGGTCGTTCCAGCTGATGGTGCTCTCTGCTCTTCGTCTACACACTTCCTTCGGGCGCTGTTTCCGCCTGTTGCTGCCTGTGTGTCCGGTCTTATCACTCGACTTCCCAAGGAAGCTTGTCACTTTGAGCGAAGCCCGCCATCGTCTTCAACCTCTGACTGGTCTCGTCAGCGCATCGGAGAAGAAGTTGTGTGTGTTGATGTTATTGCGTATGCGTACGTCTGCGTGTATGTGCCTTGATTTCTGAGCTGGCTGCTCTTGTCTTGCAGCTCGGTGCTCCCTATACAGTTTGTCTGTCAGGGTCCTTTGTGGGCCTCGAAGGCCCAGCGAGTGCATCGCAGGATCCGGGATGAGGAGGAGGAGGAGGAGGAGGAGGAGGAGGAGGAGGAGGAGGAGGAGGAGAGGAGGGGGGGAGGAGGAGGGGGAGGAGGAGGGGTGGGGGAGGAGGAGGAGGAGGAGGAGGGGGAGGAGGAGGAGGAGGAGGGGGGAGGGAGGGGGAGGAGGAGGAGGAGGAGGAGGAGGAGGAGGAGGAGGAGGGTCAGGGGGCCGACGTTGCTTCCCGGGGCCTCCCCGGGGCCTCCCCGGGGTGCCTCCCAGGGCATCCCGGGGGTGGCATCCCGTGGCCTCGCGTGGCCTCCCCTCGCCCCCCGTGGCCTCCCCTGGCCGTCGTGGTGCTTCCGCCCCTCCTGGTTTTCGGGAGGGAAAAGACACACACAGACACAATGAATCGTTGATTCCCCCGAAAGGATGGGAAAATATGGGCAGGGGGGGGGAAGACAAAAAGGCCCAGAAGATATGAGAAACTATGGGGAAGCTTCTTATTTGTGTGTGTATTCATTTGTGTGTGTCCTTGGGCCCCTTCCGTTTTCCTCTCCCGTTTCCCCCCCTTCGCGGGGCCCCCCGTCGTGAGCCCCCCTAGCGGGCCCCCCGCCGCAGCTTTACGTCGGGCGCGTCCCGCTACAGGAGGCATGTATTCCGCAGTTGCGTCCATAAACAATTTGGAGACGATGTCTGGGATATTGTTTTTAGTTGTTTCGAGCAGCTGTGGAATATGTCACTCCTCGTCCAGAATGCGCCGGTAGAGGGGACCTGCCCGCCCGGAATCGTAGCTGTGCGAAGATGTCGAGGGCCTGCTGCCGCCGGGGAGGCACCTGCGCGGCCCGCCCCACGTGCGAGTTCGCTGCGCAGTGGGCCGAGCCATTGCTCGCTGCGGTCGGGGAAGAGGTGCCTGTGCGTTCATCGGCGGCGAGCCCAGGGGCCTGGCATCGCTCGGACGTGTGCATTTTTTCCTTCGGCGAGGACCGTCGAGGAGCATCCTTGATCATTTCGCAAAAAAAACGCATGAAACCGAACAAAAGCACAGGAAATGGACGTCCGAGCGATGCCCAGGGGGGGAAGCGAGAAGGAGGTCTTCTCAGAATGCTCGGAGAGCTCAGCCTTCCGAGAAGCTTTCTGAGTCTACCCCTAAGACGCAGGCAATGATTTCTCAGAAGGCGCGAGGGCTTCGAGAAGTCCCGCCGTCTTCTGCGAGGGCCTGCTCCTTCTCGCCGCGTCCCCCTCGCCCGCCGCCGAGTCTGTGCGTTTCTGCCTCGTTGCCGACTCGCCGCTCGCGCGTTCGAGGCCGCTCTGCCCACTGGCTCGCCGTGGGCTGTTTTCGGGCGCGCCGACGGGGTGGAGCATCGACCCCCCAATTGGTGGGCCCGTTTTCCACCACCACCACCACAACCACCACCACCACCACCACCACCACCACCACCACCACCACCATAACCGCCGACTGGCCTTCTTGCTGCACCCCGTGGGCGCAGCCAATCAACATTGAATCGGGGGCAGGGGGGCGCGTGGAAGTTTGCGCCGTCGCCCCGGCTGCGCGGCTGGTGCAGGATTTTGTCCATCACCGTATCCTTTTGCCGTAGCCCTTCATGGTCTGACACAACTGCAGAGCGCCCTCGGGGATTCGGCTTCGGAAAAACCTTTTCAGCAAGGGCGAGTGGCGATCGCTCTTGTGCTGGGCACTGCAGACGGCCCGTGGCCGTATCACCCGTACGGTTTACACAGCCAACGCGTGTTCGATTGACATTGAAATGTATTTGACACTCCAGGTCAACACACACATTGATATTTGTTGGTCGGTGTTTGAACCCACGGCCGATGGTCGTCGAGTTGTTCGTTTAGTTGTTTGGCGAGTTCGGGGAATGAGCAAGCAGGAGGAGGACGAATCAGAAGGGTAGCTTCGAGGCAGCGGCAGCGGTAAATCGTAAGTTGGGAAATGTAATGACGCGGGCAATACAGTCGAGATCGATTAGTAGGTCGACCTTGCCAATCAAGGGTACCCTTGTGCCCTGTGTGTCGCGACCCGTGCCTCCTGCATTCCTATGGCAATGTGGCCCTCGGAAGGGTCTTGCGTCCTATCGCGTGTCCGATCCAATCAATCCCGACTGTATGGCCCAGCATTCACGGCTTTCTGGCTCCCATATTATTGTCGTTTGTCAATTACGTGGTTTGCGTTGAATCTTGCCCGCCCATCAGCGCAGAAGGCTTGTAGACGAGTTCTTCGGTAGCGGCGCATCGCTGCAATTGTTCGTCCATGGGCCCAAGGCACTTTGCTGCTCATTAGGGCAGGGACATGCAGCGGTCGTGCTCATGTGTTGGAAATGCCAGATCAGCGAGTGGTGATGTCCAACGTCCAACATGTCCGAACAGCCCTTCCATTCAACAAGATTTCGGCACAGCCACATGTGTGGGTCCAGTTTGAGACAGGTCTTGTTCCGGCCAGCTCAGCTTGCATAGAGCTTGTTCACCATATGAAAGATCAACTGGCCATCCGTGCCCGCGTGTTTGCAGTCTGTCGCCCTCATTTTGGGTGTCTGGAGCGACTTGTTGGCACAGGCGTGGATGGCTTGAACGGCATGTGATGCACGCCGAT